AGTATTTTTTTTCTTAATTAAGATTGATAAATCAGTCATTAAACATTAAAACGTATTCTTCAATTTACACTTTTATTCCTTATAAACTAAAAATATTTTTCCAAAACATTTAATGTATAATATATATGTATAATTAAACTTCAATATGTGTAAATCAATCTACTGCATTAGTGTCATTTCACATGAAAGAATACGTTTCATTAATATCTCTCTAACTGTATGTCATAGAACCAAATTTTGGTTTATTTATATGACTCATATTTCATTTCATTTCTTTCTGACTGAAGATTGATGTATCAGTCATTAAATGCGTTGTACTTTTTAAACTTTATTCCTTTAAAACTAAAAATATATTTTCACCGAAAACTAATTAAATAACATATATGTATAATTAAACTTTAATATGTGTAAGTCAATCTATTGCATTAGTGCCATTTCACGTGATAGAATACGTTACATTAATATCTCTCTAACTGTATGCCATAGAAACAAATTTTGGTTTATTTATATGACTCATACTTCATTTCCTTTCCTTCTGACTGGAGATTGATATAGCAGTTATTAAACGAGTTGTACTTTTTGCACTTTATTCCTTTGAAAATTAAACTATATTTTCTCAAAAAACTGAACAAATAATATATAAGTATAATTAAACTTCAATATGTGTAAGTCAATCTATTGCATTAGTGCCATTTCACGTGATAGAATACGTTTCATTAATATCTCTCTAACTCTGTGTCATCGAAACAAAATTTGGTTTATTTATATGACTCATATTTCATTTCATTTCTTTCTAACTGAAGATTGATATATCAGTTATTAAACGCGTTGTACTTTTTACACTTTATTCCTTTAAAAATAAAAATATGTTTTCTCAAAAAACTGAACAAATAACATATATGTATAATTAAACTTCAATATGTGTAAGAAGTCAATCTATTGCATTAGTGCCATTTCACGTGATAGAATACGTTTCATTAATATCTCTCTAACTCTGTGTCATCGAAACAAACTTTGGTTTATTTCCTTCTTCGTATAAAGCTTAGTATTTTCCTGTTCAATAAAGAAGGAAGAAAAACTAAATATTCTTCCAACTTTAGCAATAGATCACCTCCTAATGAAAAGCCAGGAAAACATATTTTTTTTATTTTTCTTCTATAAACGTCTGAAGCATCTTAATCGTTGAGTTCGTATTTTCCCAAGTTCAGCTTCAAGAAGATATATATATTTTTTGTAAGAACTACTGTATAATTCACAGCTTACTTCGTGCACAAACATTAATTCGTCGCTTCAGAAAATATATCCTGTATAAATAAAATGGCGGTAACAATAAAGTTTTAAGATAAAACGAAGACTGTTTTGACCATTATTTCGATTACATAGCTGAGATTATATTATCTGTCTAAATATCACAACAGCAAAAAAGCTATTTAATAGTTATGCAAAGACTGATTTAGTTATTTTTATAGAAATTAAAAGGTCACAGTACCCTTACAATATTTTTTTTTAAATAAAGGTATAATCATTCATTTTGTGGATGCTTTACATGCTCATGTAACTTATAATCAATAATTTATCTTTAAAAAATAGTTAAACTGTTTAATTTTTTTTAAATTTTAAACAAAATTGAAAAGATTCAAAATTTTTAAATCCCTAAGGCTTTTTTATTTTAACATATTTTCAAATCTTTTTTTCTTAGTGCTTACAATATTCATCTTAAAAATTTTGTGCATTCATTTGGTGATAAATCAATTATAACATTTTTTTATAGATTTTTTTGTAAGAAAGTAGAAATAAAAGGTAAAAAATTCCTTTTGGTATACATAACATGCTGTAAAAATTGTAATACCTCATAAAATGCTTATTCCATGCACAATTTAAATAAGTGTATTATACTTAAGATAAAAAAGTTAACTTCCAAGCTTTATCTTAAATAGAAAAACTCCTTAGGGATTTCATAAAGATTAAAACACAAAATTATCATCTATGAGAAAAGGCACTTTAAAGTTTGTCTGCAGATCAAGTTGCTGTTTTAGGGCAATCTGAAATCATTCATAACTTTTTTAAAAACGTAGATGGAGAGATGTTTTTTTCTCATTGTATTTGAAGAAGTTTGAAGTTTTATTATAAACAATGAAAATATCGATATTTTGGTCATTTTTTGGGTACTGTGACCCTTTAATTTTATGAAATAAGTATAGTAAATTGAATAGATCTAAATTGCAAAATGATAGTGGTTTCTAATCGATCCATAATATTCAACATATACTTTGTTTCGTCTTTCTCTAGTTTATGTCATAATTCGTCTTTGTGTCTTACGTCGTCTTAGATTTTTAAGTCATTATATGCATACGCATTAAATTTAACACCATATTAAGTTTGTATCAAATTTGCACGGTTTTACTGTTCATTTTAGCGATATCATGAAGATAAGTGATAAGCCGAATTTTCGTAAGCGTACCACTGATTATAGTTAAATGACATGATTAACACCTGAGCTGATCACACCATTCATTTTCGTTTTTAATAACTCCCAGTCAGAACATTACTTTTCGCTGAGTTTGGAAGGTACAAAATACAGGGTTATTCATAATTCCCTCCGGGTTTTCAAAGCGTTATAGTAAAAAAACAAAGACGAATATGGCAAAAAAGAACATATGAATTATTCCGAAAGTATTCAAGTTTTAATTTAAGCAGTTGCCGGTAGATGGCAGTAACATGTACCACTGAAGCCAGTTGCAGTAAACTTAAGGTTGTAGTAAACAGAGGGAATTGTGAATAACCCTGCTGTATATTCGTTAGATGTTTTTTTTTTAAAATTCCTAAAATTTGACATAAAGCAATAAGTGGAGAATAGACTTCGACTGATCACGTTAAATATTGGTTACTATGAAAAATAAATTTTGTCACTATGAAAAATAAATTTTGTCACTATGAAAAATAAATTTTGTCACTATGAGAAAAAAAATTTTGTCACTAGGAAAAATAAATTTTGTCACTATGAAAAATAAATTTTGTCATTATGAAAAATAAATTTTGTCATTATGAAAAATAAATTTTGTCACTATGAAAAATAAATTTCGTCACTATGAAAAATAAATTTTATATTAATTTTATATTTTAATCTCCATGAAAGAGATTAAAATAACTATGATTTAATAATTCTCTTTGTGTCTGTTTATTTTGGAAGATATATACTAAAGAATGAGCTCGTTTCCTGGAAAAATTGACCACTATTTAGTATTTAACAGATACCAAATATTTAATTATCTTGTAAGTAGGATTTTGGAAAGAAAACACTGCCTGACATCAAAGGTAAACAAAATCGATTTAATCCTTGTTAATTAATTAGATAACTGATTTTGGGAAACTAGTTCAAATTTAATCAGTGATTAAGGTATCATGAAGTATTTAGCTAAATAAAATGAAATGATTTCGGTGAAGATAGGAATAAAGAAGAGAAGCTGTCAGTTTGAATGATATTCTTAAAAAGGAGTGGAATAATTTTAATTATTTGATTTTCTTTCTATTGCAGCTGTATTGATATGTGACATAAACGAATCGTTTTTAATTAGCAAAACTTCCTTTAGAGGGTTGGAATATTAATTTGCAAATTCAGATCATCGGATATTGTAAAACAATTGCCATTAAGTCTACACTCTTAGAAAATTTTCTGAAAAATTGTTAAGGGGTCACAGTACCTTTGCAACAATTTTTTCAAATAAAGGTATAATCATTCCTTTGGTGGTTGCTTTACATGCTCATTTAACTTAAAATCAATAATTTATCTTCAAAAAGTAATTAAACTGTTTAATTTTTTTAAAATCTTAAAAAAAGTTGAAAAAATTCAAAATTTTTAAATTCCTAAGGCTTTTTTATTTTAACATATTTCAAATTTTCTTTTCTTAGTGCTTGCAATATTTCTCTTAACAATTTTGAGCATTCATTTGATGATATATCGATTAGAATATTTTTGATAGGTTATTTTGTAAAAATGTAGAAAAAAAAGGTTAAGAATTCCTGTTAGGTGTATATAACATGCTGTGAAAATTGCAATACCTCATAAAATGCTTATTCCATGCAAAGTTTAAATAAGTGTATTATACTTAAGATAAAAAAGTTTACTTCAAAGTTTTATCTTAAATAGAAAAAATTCCTTGGGGATTTAATTAAGATTAAAACACAAAATTATCATCTATGAGAAAAAGCACTCTAAAGTCTGTCTGCTGTGCAAGTTTCTGTATTAAGAGAATCTAAAATCATTCATAACTTTTCTTAAAATGTAGATAGAGAGAGAATTTTTTGAAACAGTCTTAAGTTTTATTATAAGCAATCAAAGAATTTTCGATACTTTGGTCATTTTTCGGATACTGTGACCCCTTAAACAACAATTTATCTAATTGTTATTTTTCCATTTTCAACTTAAACAGTTAAATAACCACAAAAAGATTATATTCAAACTGTTAAATGCGAGAAAAAGCGTTATTGATTGCTTTTCCCTAATACAGTTTACCAACCAGAATTCTATCCCAGCCAACTAGGCCCACCTCTTTCAATATCAGTTTAATTTTTATGTTTATGGTTTAGAAACTATGCTAGTTATAAGTGATCAGTAAACCTTATGATTTTGTATTCACGGGATTTTAGCTGTACAAACCGTAAATGGTTTTAAAACCGTAAAGATAAAGAAATGTTCATAACCATAAATGTTATGGTTAATAGAGTGGGCAGACTACTGCGGGTCATTTTACCGTAATTTCGGATTGAAAAATTTAACAGTGTAGAAAAATACTTTTTTCTCTAATTTTATTTTGAATAAAAGATGAATAAAAGATGAAATAAATTTTACTTTATAAAATTGCATTAATTTTATGTTTTAAGAAACATTTTACGTCTATTTTATCTGCTATGAGATGTAGAATATTTATACAGACAATCTCCCCCTAAAAAACCTCTTAATAAATTTAAAATATATAATTTGTCTTTTTATTTTATTTTAGGTGAATTTCTTCTATTTTTGGACTGTAAGAAGATTCTGATATTCGTAAGTAAAAATAAAGTTTTAATTTCAAATGTTATTCCCCCTTTTATACTAACTAATTGAGTACAGTGCGCTAAATAAGAAATGGAACACCCTGAATTACTTTTAATCCAATAATCGGAATTTCACGTACTAGGACTGAATTTTTATGGTTCTAGGGCTTAATTTCAATTATACTAATTAATTAGTGTAAACGATATTTAAAGTTATGAAATCTAAGTCACAACGTACTTTTCTGAATAAAAAATACTTTCGTCTCTATGGGTACAGACCTTTGACCCTCAAAATTAGGGATGGGATAGTCGCTGTCTGGAAATTATGGTCCCAATATTTTGTTCAAGAGAGCGGTCAAAAAGTTAGACCCCTTAATGTTAATTTCACTTTCAGCATATTGTGCCAAGTCTTTTTCAGTGAATCGAAAAAATTTTGCATCCACAGTTTAAGATTCAAAGATAATTTTATGCAGAAATTCATTTTTGTTAATTATTTACTTTTTCGATTATTTTGTTTAATAATAGCTGAAAAATGCTTTAGTTATAAGGTATGCAAGATTTTGAAGAAAGTAATTTTATGTGGCATTATTTAAAACTTTAATAAAATTAATTTCATAGCTTTTGAAGTATGGAATTTCAAAATGAATCATATATTTAAAATCTGATTACTCAGAAACTGAACAACCAATTTTTCATGCGAATTTGCATTTGGTAAATCAGCTAAAAAAGTGTTATAAGAATTTGTCAAAATGCTATAAGAATCTGTATACTATTTTTAAAAAAATTTCCACTATAATTAAATTAAATGATTAGAAGCAATAAATAATTATTAATAAAAATTTATTTTCGAGTGGAATTATCTGTGTATAAATGAATCTAATAATTGTGTGTAAAAATTTTTATTAGCTTCGAAAATTTGGAGCTATAGGATATAAGTAAGAAGTAAAATTAACATTAAGAATTCTAAACTGTTCTCCTGGCTAAACTGTTTGGACCATATCTTCCAATGCTCTAATCCCCATAACCTGAGTGTCATGAATCTAAATCCATCAAAAAAGATATGTTTTTTCAGAGATAGTATCGTGTTTTCAAATTAAGGTTAGTTAAATTAAAGTTAAGTCACTCAATCTATTAATACCGAGTACATGAAAATCCGTCATTAGGTCAAAAGTTTTTTAAGGTGTTTTTTAAGATTTTTTAAATTTTGCCGAATGTACATAATTTACATTGTTAACTGATCCCATATATGAAGAATTGAATTAATAGTTTTAATTCTTATTATACTATTCAATACTTATTATGCTTTAAAAACATTTACTTAACATGTTTTCAATTTCATTTCAATTCTTACCTACAAAGTTGTCCTTAAAACTATTATATTTTTATGTATATTGTCAAATTATTTTAATGATTTGGAAGCTCATCTGTTGAAGGTAAGTAAGGCTGGATAGATCTGAAGAGCATAAAACCAAAGTAAGTGAAGCAAATACAAAAATATTTTAAAATACATATATTAACACATCGGCTGATAAGTTCCCGGTCTAATGAAGTAAACACAACTTTTTTTTGTAAAATTCAAATTTATTCATCAACATAGTCTCCTTTAAGAGATATACAGTCACTTCATCGCCTCTCTATCATCTCTACATCTTTCTTAAAAAAAGAACCATCTTTGACCTCAAAACAGGCGTTTATTTCGGCAATCACTTCCTCATTTGTGCTGAATCTCTTACCAGCGAGAATTTTTTTCAAGTCTGCAAACAAGTAGAAGTCACTAGGAGCCAAATCTGGTGAACAGGGTGGGTGCGGAAGCACGCTGAAACAACGTCAAACAGCTCTCGGAATAATCAATTCGTTGTTGTTTTCGGTCAACTATTAGCACACGCTGCACCCACTTCGAAAACAGCTTTCTCATAAAAAAAATGTTCTTGCAAAATAAAGCCTACACAATCTTTTGATATATTTAGAGTATCAGCAATGTCATGCAACTTCACTTTGCGGTTTTCTCTACAATTTTGTGGACATTTATTATGTTTTCCAGATTAATCACATCTTTAGGGCGTCCAGAGCGCGGCGCATCTTCAACATTTGTACGACCACGTTTAAAATCAGCAAACCAGTCAATAATGGTCGATTTTCCTGGTGAAGAACCCGGATAACACTTATCGAGTCAAGCTTTAGTTTCTACCGTGATTTTTCCCATTAAATAACAATGTTTAATAAGAACACGAAATTCTTTTCCATCCATTGTTTCAATAATATAAATTGGCGTTCGATTAAGATCACTGTAACTTTAAAATCAATCGGTAGATCGTTATAAAATTTTGACACCATTTATTTGAAGGTTAGGACTTGCTAAACAAAATACTAATTCTGCATTTAGGGAGCCATCTGTATGTCAGACCGGAAACTTATTAGCAGATGCGTTATAACTTTTCTTTAAATTCATGTCTTAATAATTATAAAGCCACATTTTATAATCATTTAACAGTTTTTTTTGTCAGTGTTTTGAGCAACAGTAAAACGATAGTATTAAAATCTGTAGAACTATCATAATTAGAATCGATTAAAATTTTTCCTCATAGTTGTAGTTCCCATTTTTCATGGAAAGAAATATAGCCATTATTAAAATCTTTGATGACGATTTCTTAAATTAATTTCATATAAAATTAAATCTAGATATGATTCATTAGTATTTTTCCAGGAAGAGTTATATGGACATACATTGTTCTTTTTGGTGAAAGTTCACCAATCATCCTCAATGAAAGTGATTTTATGTAAATAAATAATTGTACACCTGATTCATATAGGTGGAAAATCTGTGTGACTTGATCTACTAAAAGAAAGACTTGATTTTTAAGTTTCAGATATTTACAGAAATTATTTTAAAGAGATTCGGTAAGGCATACATCAATAATGCTAAAACTGACCTTCTTCGATGTATCTTTTCTATGAAACTACTTTTAATATCGCTTTGAAATTTTTTGGGATATTTGAGATTATATCAGTTGTATGCTGTCATAATTTTTTAAGCGTTAACAGAAATACTTATTTACTCAAAAATGATTAAACTTTTAAAACATTTTAAAGTTTATAGTTCATAATATTTTAAAAAGAATTCTGCTAACGATATGTATTAGTAGTTATCACTGCATAAGCATGTATGTATGAATATTCTGTGGGGAAAAAATGAATCAATATCTTATTAAGATGCTGAGAAAAGGTACATCGAAAAAGGTCAGCTTTAGTATTATTGATATATACCCTACCAACTCCTCTCAGCTAATAAGGAGTCGGTAGGGTATACATCAATAATACTGAAACTGACCTTTTTCGATGTACCTTTTCTCAGCATCTAAACAAGATATCTCTTCAGTTTTTTTGCCAGAGATATGAATTAACAGTTATCACAGTGCAAACACGTAGGGGAGAATCTGGTAGCCCCCCTCCCCCGCTTAAGGAGTATTGCTTATATTTCTGTATAATAGTGAGTAATGATCAATATTTTTGCATGTTTCTATTGTTTTATCATCTAACTAAATAATGCAAAAAGAATAAACAAAGAAAGAATAGTTTAACTTAAAAAAATAGAAGTATAAAAAAAAACATGCTTTTCAGCTCTTTTCAAAATGTGTCGGGTAGCCACGCCCAGTTACAAAAATTATGTTTTTTGACTGTTTTTTCAGGTGTAAATGAAAATGACCAATGTATTGACAATAGATAAGCCTCATTTATCATTTTCATCACAAAATTATTTTATTTATTACATATTTATATACTTTTAGTGAATTCTGTCATTTAATATTAATCATTTAATAACAACAATACTTGTTGTTAAAAATGCATGTAACATTCAAATTTGAAGCAATAAAATAATAATCTTTGCAACCGTACATTTATCGACGAAATAAAATTGGGCGGGGATACCCGACATTCATGTGAGCGGGGCTACCCGAAATCCAATTTTTTTGTAAATTTGTAATTACTCGAACAATTTTTCACATATAAACTTCTTTCTTTGTGCAAATTAAACTTAAGACTACATACTTTAATGCTGTATGTATAGAAAAAATTATTTTTTTAGTATTAAAATGAAGTTCAATCGAAACATTCAACCAATTTTTCTAAATTTCATGACTACTGTATTCAACATATTTTCAAAACTATTGTGTACCATATTAACACCTACATAAATGCTTGAAACTCTGAAAATAATCTTTTTTTAATATAACAATTAATGTCCGATGGCCCATTGACTTGAAAAAATATTCTATACACATGAAATTGCCAGTGGGCGGTGGTACCAGCTGGGCGGGGCTACCCGACTCTCCCCTATACATAAATATTCTGTGAAAAAAAACTGAAGCAATATCTTGTTTAGATGCTTGGAAAAGGTACATCGAAAAAGGTCAGTTTTAGCATTATTGATATATGCCCTACCGACTCCTCTTTAGCAAATACAAAATCTTTGCCAATTTGCTAGAAGTACTTTAAGATACTAATGAAATTTTTATCGAAAAACAGTATTTCCTATTAATGCAAAGCAAATTTAGTGTCAATTCATGTATAAAAAAGGCGAAATAAATTTCATTGCCTACATCTCTGCAGTAAAGGTAAGTAAAACACGAACATTTTATATACCTTTATTTTAATTTGAAGATTGTCATGAATTCAATCTGATTTACTTCTTTTTTTGTCAAGTTTCGAAAGATGAACGAAAATAATGTTTTTTCGAACCATTTTTGAATTTTTAGTTTAAATAATTTAGAAATTCATCTAAACATTTATCGTGCAACTACCTATGAATATATGATTTTTTGAAAACAAATTATTTCACAAACTTCAGCAAAAAATAAATTTATGTACGAGAAAATCTGCCTCAGTTGTAACATAATGTTATAACCTATAACTAACCTAGGAAAAGGTGTTTTACTTTTGGGTATATCATATATTGTACCTTAGATCATTGGATGTTTAGTCTTGAATAGCATTCAGTTTGAGATCTTGTCC